GAAATGAAGAAGAAGAAGAAGAAGAAGAAGAAGAAGAAGAAGAAGGTGGAGAAGAAGAAGTGGAGGAGGCGGAGAAGAAGAAGAAGAAGAAGAAGAAGAAGAAGAAGAAGAAGAAGAAGAAGAAGAGGAAGAAGAAGAAGGGAAAGAAGAAGGAGAAGGTGGAGAAGAAGAAGGGGAGGAGGCGGAGAAAAAGAAGAGAGAAGAAGAAGAAGGAGGAGGAGGAAGAGAGCAAAAGGATGGTGGTAAAAGGGGTAGAAGAAGAAGAAGAAGAAGAAGAAGAAGAAGAAGAAGAAGAAAGTATGTTAATTAAATAATAATTAAATAAAGAAATATGTACGAAGAGAAAGTAAAGGGGAAAATGTGTTGTTTATACGGAATTTTCAGTCATGTTTCCTCCGTTTTAACGGACCGCCTTCATTTGAAATACATTTTCGCACGTCATTTGATATCGCTGATGAAAAAGAGAGAAGAGTTCGGTATTCTTGGCATCTGCTTCTGGAACATTCCACCCTTTCACCTCTCTTTGCAACCTGTTAAAGATTCTAGCGTTCTGTCTGCGAGAGAATGGTAAATAAAGTCTGGGAACTAATTTTTTTTTTTTTGGCTTCGAATATGCTATTACACCTGCAAATACAGACGAAGCAGCCTTTAGCGATCTCTGAATAAACAGGCGAGAATCAAATATCGTTCACGTTGAATCAGACGTGACCAACAGTGGGGTCTGCGATTGATTGCCATTATTTTCTTCAAAAGATGCAGCCAAGAATTTTAATATTACCGATTTTGAACAAGACTAAGATTTTATATTAAGTGTTCTTTTTTTTTTCTAGTTTTCGAAATTATTATAAACCCTTGAGGTCGACGTTCCTAAAGAATTTGAACTCTTCTTTGCAAATAACTGGTATGCAATGTTTCACGGTAGATATGAAAATAGCTACAACTCTTTACCCAACGTTCAAAAAGTGGCTGGGTATTAAGTCATTTTTCTCTACCACTATCCAACCGGTGGCTGGGAATTACGCCATTTTCTCTACCACGGCTAAAGCGGTGGTCAGAGTTCAAAGGGTCAAATGATTGTTTGAAATAATTCGAGTAAAAACAACATTTACCCTTAAAGCAATCAGTGTTTCTTGTCTGCTACCATTCTAAGTCTTGTATAAGATAAAATCTCCATATTACTGCATGAATTATTTACACGAATATCCTTATCTTTGTTATTTTGATCACTTCATGCATTCTCCAGCCTTCTTGTATTGCCTGAGTGGCTGAGATGAAGTATTGTCATTATATCACAAATTACTCAGACCAAAATCCTCATCTTTGTTGTTTTCATAACTACAGTTCGGCCAATGCATTCTCCAGCCTTCTTATATTGTCTGAAGGTTTGAGATGAATTCTTTCCATTAACATATGAATTACTCAGACTGTTATCCTCACCTTTGATGTTTTGATAACTACATTCCGGCCGGTGCATTCTCCAGCTTGCTTGTATTGTCTGAAGGTCTACGATAAAATATTCTACGTATTGTTCAAACTACTATCTTTATCTTTGTTGTCTTCATTTCTACATTTCGGCCGATGCATTCTTCCGCCTTCTTGTCTGAAGATCTGAGATTAAATATTTCATAATTTATTCAGACTAGTATCCTCATCTTTGTTGTTTCGATTACCATATTTCGACCAATTCATTCTCCAGCCTTCTTGCATATTCTGAAAGTCTAATATGCAGTGTGACTATTTTTCATGAATTATTCAAACTAGTCTCATTATACTATTTACATTATAACTAACTAACTAACGCCTTTATCCACTGTGCCAAGACCCAAAGAGTGTGAGTTCAATACCCGGCTAAGGCAGTGGAGAACTTGGAGGGGGGATTAACAGGAGATAACTGATAACTGACATCCATTAAACATGGCACGTGGAAATAGAATAGTCTGCCCCAGTGAGCGAAATAAAGGGTTCAGTTCGACATTCCAAGCACCTGAATAAGGCCGGGGAGTACAACGGTCGAAACGTTGTGATAAATATGGCGATAAAGATGAGGACAATAGTCCGAATAATGTAAGTAGTGTACATCATACCTCATCTCAGAAATATAGACAGTCTCATTATCTTTGTTGTTTTGACCACTACATTTCGGCCAATGCATTCTTCAGCCTTCTTCTATATTCTAAAAGTCTGTCGTGAAATATTCCACGATTTATTCAAAATAGTATCCTCATCTTTATTGTTTTCATGGTTCCATTTCACTCAATACATTCTACAGCCTTCTTGAATTATTCAGACTAGTTTCCTCGTCTTTTCTGTTTTGATCACTACTTTTCGGCCGATACATTCTCCGGCCTTCTTGTAATATCTGAATATCTAAGGCAATGTTGTTGACTGGGGCAAGAAATGGCTGGTTAACTTTAATGCCTCAAAAACAAAACTGCTCTCTTTTACCCACCACAGAGAATCCTCTCTGCCTCCCATTAGAATGTCTAATGGTCAACTCTACAAGAGCACCTCTCTGTAACTGCTTGGTCTCAATCTGACATGAGAGGGAACAAATACATTGAATCAATAGCTTCATCTACTGCAAGGAAAGTTGATTCTATGTGTCGCACCAGAATATTTTTCTTGCCTGGGTCCGTCTTTCAAAATCTATAAATCACCCATTCGCCATTGCATAGAATATTGCTGCCATATAAGGTCTGGTGCCCCCGTTGTTCGTCTTAAGGTCCTCGACAAAATCCAGAGATGGATATGCAATGTGATTGGCCCTGATCTGGCATCTCGTTTACAGTCGCTCTCTTGCAGACATGCCGTCGCTTCCCCCTGTCTTTTCTACAAATACTTTCACGATAATTGCTCAGACGAGCTACTTTCGCTGGTTCCCAAACTGCATTAATTTAAACGTGCTACTAGGTTGGCATCTCAGTCCCACCCTTTCACTGTTGAAACAGTTAAATGTAGCCGTCTCTTCTACTCCAATAGCTTCATGTCTCGCAATTCCCGTCTATAGAACTCACTCTTACTTGCTTCCCTGAAAGCTATAACCTCCAACTATTCAAATGTAATGTCAATCGACATCTCCCGATGCCTTGATCTATTCTTTGTCCTTCTCTTCATTCTTTCCTCTCTCACGCCTCTTTACTCTCGCTCCCACTCTCTGTAACCCCTTGTGTGCTAGTGGCACTCCTACCTTGCTTGGGATGAAAAGCTTACAAAAAATATTCCCAACGTGGGTCACATGCCCCAGCGGTGAGGCATGCGTAGGATGTGCACCCTTCGGCCTACGCATTCTAAAGACTTCTTGTATTGTCTGGATATCTGAGGTGAAATATTCCATGTATTATTCAAACTAATATCCTTATCTTTGTTGTTTTGAACATTACATTTCGGCCAATGCATTCTACAGCCTTCTTGTATTACCTGAATGAGGTGAAACATTCCATGAATTATTCAGACTAGTTTCCTCATCTTTTCTGTTTTGATCACTACATTTCGGCCTATACATTCTCCGGCCTGCTTGTATGGTCTGAATATCTAAGGCAATGATTCCCAACGTGTGGCGCACACCCTACCGGTGAGGGTCACGGTAATATTTTAGTGGGGCATTCGTAGCATGTGCATCCTTCGGCTTACTTATAGCAACAGAATAAGGTTGCAATTCGAGAATGAGTTATTAACAGTGAATTGTTTTCTAGAGAGTCTGAGTGATAGTGTTAACGTTAATGTGTGTTAATGCATACGATGTATATACAGTATACATACATAGGAATATTTGGTGTGTATGTACGTAAATGTGTAACTGGCATACAGAGTAATTACCGTCTCCCCACACTTGTCTGTCTCGGTCAGTAAAGAAGAGGGCGTGATGCATGTCACTGGAAGAGCCCATGTTTTGTCGGCCAATCAGCGCGTGTGAGCATTCAGTTTGCTTCCTTCATGTGAATTGCAGTAAAATTTGGAATTCCAAAAATAACAAAGTGGGGGGTGATCTTAAATCGGTTGGAAACCACTGATCTATCTATCTATCTATCTATCTGCATGTCTGCCCATCTATCTATCTATCTATCTATCTATCTATCTATCTATCTGCATGGCTGCCCGTCTATCTATCTATCTATCTATCTATCTATCTATCTATCTATCTATCTATCTATCTGCATGTCTACCCGTCTATCTATCTATCTATCTATCTGCATGTCAGCACGTCTATCTATCTATCTATCTATCTATCTATCTATCCGCATGTCTGCCCATCTATCTATCTATCTATCTATCTATCTATCTATCTATCTATCTATCTATCTATCTATCTATCTATCTGCATGTCTGCCAGTCTATCTATCTATCTATCTATCTATCTATCTATCTATCCGATACAATGAGAACAAAAGTAATATATAAATTCTAACGTTCACAGCATTAATCCAAAAGAGAGCTCGATACCAATAGTAAAGCTTAAATCATTTACGAAACCGAAACAAAGTTGCATCTTTGTAGTGAGAAAATTGTTATGTACATTATTTACATTATTCGGACTATTGTCCTCATCTTTGTCGCCATATTTATCACATCGTTTCGGCCGTTGTACGCTCAGGCCTTCTTCAGGTGGTTGGAATTTCGAACTGAACCCTTTATTTCGCTCACTGGGGTAGATTGTTCTAGTTCCACGTGCCATGTTTGATGGATGTCAGTTATCAGTTATCTCCTGCTAATTTTCCCTCTGAAAGTTCTCCACTGCCTTAACTGGGTATTGAACTCACACTCTTTGGTCGGAGCGTGCAACGGCGGAAACGTTGTGATAAATATGGCGACAAAGATGAGGACAATAGTCCGAATAATATAAATAATGTAGAGTAAATTGTTTTTGTCTATATGATAAAATTATAATAAATATATATCTGTCTCCCCTCTCTCTCTCTCTCTCTCTCTCTATATATATATATATATATATATATATATATATATGTTTGTCTATTTATATACCTGTCTATTTCTGTCTGTCTATGTATCTATATATCTGTCTGTCAATCTATCTATCTATCTATCTATCTATCTATCTATCTATCTATCTATCTCAGTCCTGTTCATATCTATCTATCTATATCTATGTATGTCAATCTATTTATCTCAGTATGTTCATCTCTCTCTCTCTCTCTCTCTCTCTCTCTCTCTCTCTCTCTCTCTCTTTATATATATATATATATATATATATATATATATATGCAGTAAAATATTGAATATGTAAATATTACAGGTAGTGGGGTACCAGAATTTTAGAAATACCAAAGTGGGGCGTGTTCCCAAATCGGTTGGGAACCACTGGCCTAAGGTGAGGCATTCCATGAATTCTTCTCACTAGTCTCCCCCATCTGTTTTGTTTTGATTACAACAATTCGGCCAAAGCATTCTCCGGCCTTCTTGCATTGTCTTGATATCTGAGATGAAATATTCCATGAATTATTCAGACCAATCTCCTAATTTTTGTTGTTTTGATCGCTACATTTTGGCCAATGCATTCTACAGCCGTCTTCTAATTTCTGAAGGTCTAACATGAACTGTTATCATTATTTCATAAATTATTCTGGCTAATTTCCTTATATTCATTGTCTTGATTGCTTCATTTCGGCCAGACTACTTTTATTGTCCGAATATCTGAGATAAAATATTCCACGAATTTTTCGTACGCTTCCTTGGAGTAACGTCCATCTCAGACAATGGCCGTATAACAACTAATCGACAGTCGAGACAATAGTGATGAAAATCGGATGCAAACACGGATGACGCAATATTTTTCAAGGCCAAACAAATTTCATCAAACACCCCGAAAATAGATTCATATTAATGCATACCACTGCAAATGACTTAATCTGAGAAAAAAATTACAAATTGATTACACCCTGTCACTCCAGTGGGTCAAAATCTGACCGTATGATGAAAGAAAGGAAACTAAAGCGATTGTTTTAATTAATTTGCACACGGGTGTACATCTGACCAAGTGTAATATTTTATTTAAACATTTTTTTAATAATTCCATACGTAAAAATAAAATGGCAAACATGACCTACTTTAAACGCTAAACGTTATTTTCACCTGTCTGATAGTTTTCCAGACAAAACGGCAGATTTTGTTACATTAGTTATTACCTTTAACGAAAGGAGACCATTTTTTGCAACCGACGTTAGCAGGTTCCTTTCGCAATCGTTGGCTTGTGAGTTTGATCTTTCTAGAATGACAGACGATTTGTGCATCCGGTAATCTTAAGCCGAACTCTGAAAAACGCTTACTTCCGGGATTAGCGATATAATCCCTACTGACATTCAAACTAAAAAAAAAAAAAACTATAAATAAACAACTATCCGCTGTTAAATATAGATCCACCTACAGGAATTTCCCATGTGAGATCAAATAATTTCTTTCTACGTATCAAGAAGGCTGTGGATTTGACTACTTCCCTATAAGATTTATAGCTTTAGGCTATAACATCACGTTTAACCAAATTGAATGCAAAACTTGGCGTTAGCGAGACTTAGATCTTATTTCTTGTTATATATATATATATATATATATTAAGAAATGGACAAAGTCCGACAATTTATTTATTAAAGACATTTTTATGTTTAACGTTCTTTTTATAGATACAAGTATTTAAGTAAATGCTCTGTTTATAATAAACAGTATTAAATAACATGAGCAGTTATGAATGTACGAGATTCATGGAAGATTGAAGTTAATAAGCAGTAAATTCAACCTTGCCGACCGAACGATCCCTTGTGGCCGAGCGATCAAGGCACGTCAGCGTAAATGACGATTCCGTATAGGATGCAGGTTCGAAGGACGAATGTTTTCTATGAAAATTTCTCGGACATTCAGGCCGGTAAATGTTATTTAATTCTGTTTATTATAAAACAGAGCATTTACTTAAATACTTGTATCTATAAAAGAATGTTAAACATAAAAATGTCTTTAATAAATATATATATATATATATATATATATATATATATATATATACTGGCTGTAACAGCAAAATTGTCTAAATCGTGCAACAGCATAATCGTCCATCCCACAAAATGTTTAATATATATATATATGTATATATAAACACTCTTAACTAAGTTTCGTTGTTTTCAGTTAGAAGTTTCGCCATCTTAATATCATTTGTCGGAAGAAACACTGAAAAACCGTTTGAGCTAGAAAGAGAAGAGGTTAAAATCGTTTTATGACAGCCCAACTGTATTCCCAAATGAGCAATGGTGAGAGGAAAAAGATCGTTCAGACCAGACCTTTATTAATGGTACCAACATTCATACTCTGTCTTACATCTTCAAAGCGCATTCAAGAACCATCAAGAGAATGGTAAATAAGTTTTAAAAAGAGTGAACAGTAGAGAGGAAAATTGTATCAGGAGGTCACAACAGCAAGAGAGATAAATTAGAAAAGATCCAACTCAATCCATAAGACGTCATATAGCCGAGCGGTAAGGCACGTCAGGCTATATGACGGTTCCGTATAGGATACAGGTTCGAATCCTGTCGAAGGACGCATATTTCCTATGACAATTTCTCGGACATTCCGGTAAATGTTACTTAATACTGTTTATTATAAACAGAGCATTTACTTAAATACTTGTATCTATAAAAAGAATGTTAAACATATATATATATATAATTATTTTTTATAAAAAAAATTATAACATAGGTATGTTATAAAATCACTACAAAAATAGCCATTTTGTTTCAACACACTCTGTGTCTTATCAAGTGATGATGTTGAAAAGAAAATAAATGGTTTTAAAAGTTTCAGATTAATTAACGATCCTACACTAGGGGGAAACATTGTTACAAAAGCTAGAATAACCAATCAAAAACCAAGTATAGAAAGATTCAAAAGCTTGACAACGAAATCATGTTATAATAGCTATTCAGATCTTTAAATACGTGTAATATTAAAAATAATTTATACTAACCAATAATTATAAAATTATATGATAAAATGTAATATTAAAATTAAAAACTGGCAATTTTAAAATCCAAATTTAATCACTATTAAGTTTAAAAACTACAAAATTATTGAGAAAAGAAAAAAAATATATATGTTTATTCAATTCATTTCTTCATTGAAATTACGTTCGACAAGACGCTACAATATATCCGGTCATTTTTGTATATATATATATATATATATATATATATATATATATATATATATATATATATATATCATAGGCCGAGGAAGAAAATTCGAGAGATAAAATTTCAGCAAAAATAATAATATTGATACAAATAATATTTATATTTTTACAAAAAATGTTTCTTCCTCATTTTTCTAAGACTAAATAGATGTGTCCATCTGACAATAACATTTTTACTTGTGAAGTAACAACTTTATTTTCAGATGAACACAAAAATTTTGTCTTAGAAAAATGATAAACAAAAGAATTATTTGTCTTAGAAAAAAACGATTAGATAAGCAAGATTTCAGCTTCACATTGGTTGTTACACCCCAAAGATTCAGCCATTTATGAGATGAAGAATTATTATATAATAATTTATTCAAGCTGATATCTTGCTTGTTGCATTCACCACGTTTCAGCTTTTGAGATCTCGAATTTGTCTGCCTTTTCTTTCTTTCTTTCTTGTATTTGCATGTCGAACTGATTATTTGATTCATAGGAGCAAATAATTTACATTCGGCTGATTATGCCAGAGGGCATTTTCCCTAATTCACCGGCGTTTATTCGTCCTTCAGATACAATTCCTTCTTGTGCCATTGATCAATTGTGTTAAGATTTGTAAGAAACGGACATTAGTTTTACTACTTGATACCGATTGTTAATATAGCTGTTGGTTAAGCATATGTACTTAGAGGTTGTGAGATCAAACCTTGGTAATAGCGATGGAAATACCAGCCATTTATTTTGAAAGTCCGGCACTCATTGGTTGTGAAGCCAGTGCTATCATCGACTGAAATTTATAAAATATATATTTGCAGAATAAATAGCTTTTCCAAGTTCAGTACTGTGAAACCCTGCCTATTCGCGTTTCAGCAGTAGCGGTTTCACAATTTTTCAGGCTATTTAGAACGTATGTACTTGTTATTCGCGGAAAACCCTTGAATATCCGCGAGTTTTTCTGAATAACATGTGTACAAATTATTCGCTGAGAACTCGCGTATTTTTTCGTTAGAACATATTTAAAAGATTCTTGTATAATTTTTCCTCTTATTTAAGTGACTTAAAACATAACATTCTATTTGTATGGTAAAAATTGGCAGAATTGTAAATATTCATTGTAAAAAAAAGCAAACGCTCTGACAAGTGTATTTAAGATCATGGCATTAGGTTCTAGGTTAATGTTTCGGTTCTGTAGCATTTTGCGGTGTTGGGCGAAACTTTTTCTCCTATATTTCATTTACTATTTATGAACGGGTTTGGTGCCATGCATAACGTCCATATGAAAGCCTTGATCTGACGAGGCTACTTAAGAACATGACTCTAGTTTCTAGGTTAATCTTTCGGTTCTGCAGCAATTTGCGGTTTTGGGCAAAACTACCTCTGGCGCAATCTATTCTATGTTTAATTTCTTTTTCTCCTATATTTCATTTGCTATTTCTGAACGGGTTTGGTGCCTTGCATAACATCTATATGAAAGCCTTGATCTGACGGGGCTGTTTAAGAAGATCCTATTTTCTGTTTTGGAAAGGTTTATCTTGGGTTCTATTTCTTGGGACACTTTTTTAATAAATGTTAATTTTCTGTTGAAGATCATTTAACTATGATTATCTATGCCACCAACATACCCCACCACCCAGCTCATCAGTATATTGGCCTTGGGAGGGGAGGCATTTTCTCTGTTTCCTTTAAATCAGATTTGTTTGGAATATGGTGTTAAATGCTTGCATGAACTGCATAATCTGGTTCGACGGAGCGAGAAATTTTGCGCATCACAAGAACGGCTTAACTAAAAAAAAATTGGTTAATACGAGTTATCTCCCTTTAGCATTGACAGGAGAATAGCGAGAGCCAACCTCAACGATTGAATAAAAGATTCGGTTTATCGAATAATAAGGGCACCTGAAGAAAGCCGGAGAATACATCGGTCGAAAAGGTTTTCGCAACCAAGTCAAGGATATGGGTTTCAATAAAACTGTAGATTAATTATGAGGAAGAATGTTTCTAATCTGGAACTGAAAAAAAAGGAAAATAATTCAACTGAAGGAAACGAATGCAACGGTAAATTTAACCGTAGTGGTAATGGTATGGTGAAATTAGTTTCAATGGTAATGATAATTTCCTTTTTTTCACTTATTTCACTCCAAGAAAGGCAATAAAGCTACTACGATGCAATAGGTTGCTGAGTGTTAGAGAAAATATACATCCTTGGGCAAATTAATTTTCTTTCTTTCACCATGGAGTGGCAGGGTGTAATCTAAAAACATTAGTTTAAATCAATTATTATATAATAATTCATCATCTCATAAATGGCTGAAACGTTGGGTTGTAACAACGAATATAAAGACATCAGTTTGACTCAATTACTATATAATAATTCTTCAACTCATAAATGGCTGAAACGTTGGGTTGTAACAACGAATATAAAGACACCAGTTTGACTCAATTATTATATAATAATTCTTCATCTCATAAATGGCTGAAAAGTTGGGTTGTAACAACGAATATGAAGACATCAGTTTGAATCAAGGGATTGCTATTTTTTCCTCAGATTACATCATTTGCCTTGGTGGGCAGTAATATGAATCTATTTTCGGGGTGTATGTTCAAATTTGTTTGGTCTTGAAAAATATTGCATCATCGGTAATTTTTTATCCCGCCCATACACTATTGTCTCGACTGTCGATTAGTTGTCCTACGGCCTTTGTCTGCGAACGTTACTCCAAGGAAGCGTACGAAAATTGTAACGCTGCAAGAACACACAGGCAAGCCTTACCAGTAGGAAAAATACTAAACTGGCCCGGAAACTCTCCTGATTTAAATCCAATCGAGAATCTGGGGTCAATCTGTAAGGAACGACTTCGTGGAATGGACAGACGAAGTACTGACATGTGCACTGGGTCATACTTCAACAAAGAAAGGTGAACGTCAGGTGGCCATTCTATGCTGCCGGTTCTTCCGAACTAAAATGGAGAAGTGCTCCATCTTGCTGAAAGAACACTTCGGCGAAGTTAGATCTAAAAACGTGAAACAACATTTGGCCTACCCTGGATTAAGAAAAGCAGACCAAAAAAGAAGAATTAAGAAGACAGAAGATAACGATTGACATTGCATTTAAATGTTTGAAGATCAAAGGCAATAAAGCCACTAGAACGCAAGGGGTTACTGAGTGTTAGAGAATATGAGAAAAACTACTATTAAGGAGAGAGGACAATAAAAGAAGAAGAATTAAGAAGACAGAAGATAACGATTGACATTGCATTTAAATGTTTGAATATCAAAGGCAATAAAGCCACTAGGACACAAGGGGTTACTGAGTGTTAGAGAATATGAGAAAAACTACTATTAAGGAGAGAGGACAATAAAAGAAGAAGAATTAAGAAGACAGAAGATAACGATTGACATTGCATTTAAATGTTTGAAGATCAAAGGCAATAAAGCCCCTAGGACGCAAGGGGTTACTGACTGTTAGAGAATATGAGAAAAACTACTATTAAGGAGAGGGGACAATAAAAGAAGAAGAATTAAGAAGACAGAAGATAACGATTGACATTGCATTTAAATGTTTGAAGATCAAAGGCAATAAAGCCACTAGGACGCAAGGGTTACTGACTGTTAGAGAATATGAGAAAAACTACTATTAAGGAGAGAGGACAATAAAAGAAGAAGAATTAAGAAGACAGAAGATAACGATTGACATTGCATTTAAATGTTTGAAGATCAAAGGCAATAAAGCCCCTAGGACGCAAGGGGTTACTGACTGTTAGAGAATATGAGAAAAACTACTATTAAGGAGAGGGGACAATAAAAGAAGAAGAATTAAGAAGACAGAAGATAACGATTGACATTGCATTTAAATGTTTGAAGATCAAAGGCAATAAAGCCACTAGGACACAAGGGGGTTACTGAGTGTTAGAGAATATGAGAAAAACTACTATTAAGGAGAGAGGACAATAAAAGAAGAATTAAGAAGAGAGAAGATAACGATTGACATTGCATTTAAATGTTTGAAGATCAAAGGCAATAAAGCCACTTGGACGCAAGGGGGTTACTGAGTGTTAGAGAATATGAGAAAAACTACTATTAAGGAGAAAGGACAATAAAAGAAGAAGAATTAAGAAGACAGAAGATAATGATTGACATTGCATTTAAATGTTTGAAGATCAAAGGCAATAAAGCCACTAGGACACAAGGGGGTTACTGAGTGTTAGAGAATATGAGAAAAACTACTATTAAGGAGAAAGGACAATAAAAGAAGAAGAATTAAGAAGACAGAAGATAATGATTGACATTGCATTTAAATGTTTGAAGATCAAAGGCAATAAAGCCACTAGGACACAAGGGGGTTACTGAGTGTTAGAGAATATGAGAAAAACTACTATTAAGGAGAGAGGACAATAAAAGAAGAATTAAGAAGAGAGAAGATAACGATTGACATTGCATTTAAATGTTTGAAGATCAAAGGCAATAAAGCCACTTGGACGCAAGGGGGTTACTGAGTGTTAGAGAATATGAGAAAAACTACTATTAAGTAGAGAGGACAATAAAAGATAAAGAATTAATAAGACAGAAGATAAGGATTGATATATTGCATTTAAATGCAATTGTGGAAAGACAAGAAGAGTAAACAGTGATCGTATAGTTATAGGGGAGAAATACTGATCATTAGGCTACTTCCTATTTATTCACTTCTTTACGATCACTTAAGAATGGAATCAAACTATAGTGTCGGCAACGACACCTACTCTTATACAACACATTAATATTGAAATTGTCAGTAATGGTAATGGTAAAATTAGCAGTCATTAAAAATTAACATTAATGGTAAAGGTAATGTTCATATATTCAGTAATGGTAAAATTAGCAGTCATTGTAAAGGTAATGTTGAAATTAGCAGTAAAATTCGAGGTAACATTCATATATTCAGTAATGGTAAAATTAGCAGTCATTGTAAAGGTAATGTTGAAATTAGCAGTAAAATTCGAGGTAACATTCATATATATTCAGTAATGGTAAAATTAGCAGTCATTGTAAAGGTAATGTTGAAATTAGCAGTGAAAGTCAAGGTAATGTTTATATATTCAGTAATGGTAAAATTAGCAGTCATTGTAAAGATAATGTTGAAATTAGCAGTAAAATTCGAGGTAACATTCATATATTCAGTAATGGTAAAATTAGCAGTCATTGTAAAGGTAATGTTGAAATTACCAGTAATGTTGAAATTGGTATTTCCAAAAGGTCACCCATCTAGATACTAACAAGATTTAATTTTGCTTCACTTCGGTGATCGTATGGTAATGGGAGTGCCAAAGAAATAAGTTCAACTTTCTAAAACCCAGAAAATGACAAGACGTTGTGAAGAGCCCTGATCGCACACGGAATCTAGAAGAAAAAGAAGAAAATTATTAAAATTATACTTGGGCTTATCCCTAATTTCGTTAGTCCACACGGCCGTTACGCCCTGTCAATGCCTCATGCATAATGGTCTATTCTGTTTTTGATTCGCGTATAAAGAATGGAACTTTTATTCCCAGTCTCACTTGCGGGGTTAGGTCGACGATTACATCGATGCTGTATCTGAGTGTGGGAAATTTACGCGCGAATCAAAATTAACAAGCAAGGACACCGATCCGTGGCACTTCAAATATCCCCCGGGAAAGCAGTAATATTTGCGAGATCAAAATTTTCAGAAGGCTAGCACTTAACACGTCAAATTAAACTCCTTTGATACATAATAAAAAAAATCCGTTTGGAAAAAAAAAAAAAAAAAGATTGCTTATTTAAAAGGAAAAAGAAAAAGGAGGGGAAATAACTGGAAATGTCGTGCCCTCAGGTGGGAATTGCTTTCTTTGTGATGCAACCTGACAATGTCGTTTTGAAAAGCTAGAGGGAAGAAAAAAAATACAACGATATAAATTGGCTTTTGTCAAGAATCATTTTTTAGAATCACTTTTTTTAGACAATTATCTGCAGAGAAAATGGACGAAAAAAAAAATTCGGCAGCAAAAATCACTTTAGGCAAGAGAAGATGCCGAAAGTATAATGGAGGCGAATGCATTAAAATGATCATTATATGTAATGATCGAATATGCTTCAAGTCAACGGCTATGTCTCTCTTTGAAATAATGTTGCAAGCTGTAACTATTCCGTAGATACAGCGACCTAAGATGAGTAAAAAAAAAAAGGCCCTTAACTAAGTAAGCTTCCGCGCATGGTTGCGGAGGGCTTCATCTGCAAATTTACCGAAAAAACTAGAAATTCCTTTATCGAACGCGCATGCGTAGAAACACAGTATTTACCAGCGTTTGCCATTGATAAGGTCACCACTTGTGTAATTATCAGCAATCAGTGGTTCGTTGGTTGGTATATAAGTTTGCGGTTACTTGCAAGCACTTGTAAAATAGAAAGCAAAGACGGTCTTAGAAATGTGCCGAGATTTGGTCGAGTCGATTAGAGTCTATAATCAAAAGCAAACGAGTTCCACCGACCATCTATAGTTATTGGCTTGTGTTCCTACTAATTAGGTAAGATTATTGTAGCCATTATTGTCTGCTGTAGACGAAACAAGCGGTTGTAGATTTTTCTTTTGTCAAATACATCAAGGCAAAGATTAGCTTTTTGTCAGGATTTAGCTTTTATTTTGGTCTCCATAAAACTTTCTTTCTTTCTGTCAGGTAGACGTTTTATTTTCTTCTTTCTTTCTTTTTTTCTTGTTTTTTTCTTTCTTTTCCTAACGCACTCTCATTTCTCTTTCTCTCCTACACACTTTTTCTCTTTTTCTCACTCGCTCATTGTCACTCTCTCTAATTCTTTCTTTCTTTCTTTCTTTCTTTCTTTCTTTCTTTCTACGCTTTTGTTTGTTTGTTTCTTTCTTTCTTCATACTATTTCTTTCTTTTCTTTTTTCTTTCTTTTTTGCATACTCTTTTCTTTCTTTTTCTGTATATCTTTTCTTTCTTTTTTCTTCTTTCTTTCATTTTTTTCTGTATACGCTTTTGTTTCTTTCCTTCTTTCTTTCGTCTGCATACTTTTTTCTTTTTCCTTTCTTTCTTTTTTCTACAAACGCTTTTCTTTCTTATTCCTTTTATTTATTATTTTTTTCTTTATATTATTTTCTTCCTTTCTGCATACTCTTTCCTTTATTTGTTCCTGCATAATCAATCTTTCTTTCTTTCTTTCATTCTTTCTTTCTTTCATTCTTTCTTTCTTTTTTCCGCATGCCCTTTTTTTCTTTCTTTCTTTTTCCGCATACTTTTTATTTTTTCTGCATTTTCTTTCTTCATAGTCTTTTCTTTTTCTTTCTTTTTTTCTGCATACTCTTGTCTCTCTTCTTTCTTTCTTTCTTTCTTTCTTTCTTTCTTTCTGGGAGGATTTATTTTCTTTCTTTCTACATACCCTTTCCTTTCTTTCATTCGTTCTTTCTTTCTTTCTTCAAGCATTTTCATTCTTTCTTTCTTTTTTCCGCATACTCTTTTTCTTTTCTTTTTTGCATATTCTCTTTTTTCTGTCTTTCTTTTTTCGTATACTTTTTCGTTTTTTTCTTTTTCTACATTTCCTTTCTTTCTTCATAATCTTTTCTTTTTCTTTCTTTTATTCTGCATACACTTTTCTCTCTTCTTTCTTTCTTTCTTCCTTCCTTTCTTTCTGGGCAGATTCAATTTCTTTCTTTCTACACACTCTTTCCTTTCTTTCTTTCTTTCTTTCTTTCGTTCTTTCTTTCTTTCTTTCTTCATTTCTTTCTTTCGTTCTTTCTTTCTTCAACAATTTTCATTCTTTCTTTCTTTTTCCGCATACTCTTTTTTCTTTCTTTCTTTTTTCTGCATACTTTTTCTTTTTTTCTTTTCTTTTTTTGCATATTCTCTTTTTTTCTTTCTTTCTTTTTTGCATGCTCTTTTCCTTCTCTCTTTCTTTTTTCTGCATAAACTTTTCTCTCTTCTTTCTTTCTTGTAGGCTTTATTTTCTTTCTTTCTTTCTTTCTTTCTTTCTTTCTTTCTACGTCCAACTGTAGGATATCTACCAACCGCCTCACGCTGTCAGATATGGCACAAGACCGAATTTAATGTGGGGTAGGCTCGGCCAAAAATTCTATGAATAAAACGGGGTCGGGTAACTGTTTCACGAGACTCGTTATTATTACAGCTTCACTATATTGCGCTGCTATTTTTCAATACAAAAATAAATTAAGAGTTACTCCTCTTGAACCATGAAAGTAACGATAATGGCTAGTATAATATATTAATATATATTTTTAACCTCGCAGAATCTGGTAGCTTTGAACCTGAGCTCAACGAAAATCGTTCCCTGCGCCTAACTTTTCTAGGGGTTTTCAATGAGAATATGATGTTTGCATATATGCAGATCATTGAAATCGGGCCCGTGGGAGCGGGGGAGTTGCTCGGGGACAACACACGCACAAACACATATACACTGTACTTTATATATAAGATTTACTTTGAGACTAATGTTTTTCGTCTTACCAAAACGTCTCAACTGCTGTACCCCTCCCAAATCTAGTATAGGTTGCAGCATAGGGCACAGGGCCAGGATATCATTTCAGACTACAAAATGATTTTCATTTTCTAGATGTTATAAATTCTAAACAGTTTTATAAAATGAAATAAAATGACAAATTTATATTTATTTTGATGGTATTATTTTTATACTGTTGGTTATAAAAAAAAATGTTTTACAGTTGTGTTGAACTATGAGCTAATTTGGTCTGGTTTGGTTTGTCTTACGGTATATCAACCTCAGTGGGTTATTTAATACCGACAAGATTTTTATTGCTGGTAATATTTTTGTTCAATGTATCGCTGGTAATATTTTTTTTCTAAAAAAAATGTATTTCTAGTAGTATTTTTTGTTTTTTTAAATTGCATTTCTGGCATTAAAACCTATTTTTACACTTTCATAGTGTTTTGACCCCAGTTTAAGGGTTAACTATTTACCCATAGCTGGGTCCCTAACAGATATTTATTGCTGCTAATATTTTTTTCCAAAAATGTATTGCTGATAATTTCTTATCCTCAAAAATGTATTGCTGGTAATAATTTTCTTTCAGATATTCATTGCTGGTAATATTTTTTTACAAAAATTTATTCCTGTTAATAAAACCTATTTTTACACTTCCATAGCGTTTTAAACCCAGTTTGGGGATTAATTATTTGCCCATAGCAAGGACCCTAACATGTGCTACCACCGCAGTTAACTATTTTCCCGTAGTTAGAACCATAATAGGTGCTACCGACCTGGGACATAGTGGACCTGGGAGCACTAGCAATTAAGAGGTAGTTCCACGCTCCTCAAAGCCTCTTGATCAGAGGCCTTGTTGTCGGACGTAGTTTATCGTCTTACCCAGGACGCGGATGCTAGTTTATCGTCTTACCCAGGACGCAGATGTAAGTTTATCATCTTACTCAGGACGCGGATGTAGTTTATCATCTTACCCAGGACGCGGATGTAGTTTATCGTCTTACCCAGGACGCGGATGTAAGTTTATCGTCTTACCCAGGACGCGGATGTAAGTTTATCGTCTTACCCAGGACGCGTATGTTGTTTATCGTCTTACCAAGGAGGCGGATGTAGTTTATCGGCTTGCCCAGGACACGGATGTAGTTTATCGTCTTACCCAGGACGCGGATGTAACTTTATTGTCTTACCCAGGACGCAGATGTAAGTTTATCGTCTTACCCAGGACGCGGATGTAGTCTATCGTCTTACCCAGGACGCGGATGTTGTTTATTGTCATACCGAGGAGGCGGATGTAGTTTATCGTCTTACCAAGGAGGCGGATGTAGTTTATCGTTTTACCCAGGACGCGGATGTAGTTTATCGTCTTAGCCTGGACGTGGATGTAAGTTTATCGTCTTACCCAGGACTACTCATTTGGACGTGTGGTAGGAGGGTTACTCCTCTGCAGTTGTGCAGCCGACATATTCTGAAGTCCCAGCCGACACGGCTGAGTAAATTTGGTTTCCGATAAACAGTAAAATAATGGTATTTCTTAAAGAATAATTTTATTGATGAAAAAAAAGATAGGTATTTTACCGGTAGCCTCTTTTTTCATTTTTTATAATCCAAAGCTTGCATTTAAAATGCGTCCCAACCTTATGGGATACCCATAGGACCTTCAGAAGAAGGTATCATACCCAATGTAACATGTATTTCAACTTGAGGGGAATGATGTCATAAGGCTTTCAATGTGCGTTTGGTAAACTGGACAGGCGTAGAATACGCGATAGAATATAAGACAAATGATAGTGAGGAAGAGGAAGGGTGACACGGGGTGGTGTGGGGGGTTTGGAGTTCTTAAATTTGATAAATTCTGACAGCAGAATTTGGCAGCATTGATGTTTGCATATGCACGCTCTCTGTCAGGTCATAAAAAAAAAGAAATCTCCATACTTAAGGCGTGTAAGACAAAGATTGAACCTGACCCGAGGATCATTGATTTCGATAGGGAAACACGACGAGTGGATTTGGTTTTATTTCTTATTGACTCTAATTCACACACACACACACACACACACACACACACACACACACACACACACACACACACACACACACATACATATGAATAAAAATATATACGGAAAAAACAAACAAAAATCCTTATATGCAATTATGCTGTTTTAATGTTAATATGTCAACGTCGGATAACTGAAAGTTTTATAAAATCAGTCTTGGATAAATCTTGTTCTTATGTACATCGTCTTTGTCATGTTGAATTGATAATGTTAATTATATTTTATGAATATGTCCTGAAGATGGTTTATTAGACCGAAACGTCCGACGTTGATATATTAACATTAAAACAGTATAAATTGTATATAAGGATTTTTGTTTGTTTTTTCCCATATATTTTTCTTCATACTGTCGGATCCATATCCATATATTTATATATATATATATATATATATATATATATATATATATATATATATATATATATATATATATATACTGGGTGTAACAGCAAAACTGTCCAAATTGTGTAACAGCAAAATTGTTCAATTGTTAGATTAAGCTTTGAACTGTTGTATCATAGAAATGATTAAAGATATTTTACTGGAATTCTCCGAGGTTTTTATAACACTACTGGACTCTGAGCAATAAGAATGCAGTATTACTACACGGTTTGGAGAATTTTGATGTAACACCCGGTATGTATATATATATATATAGTCAAAGAAAAATGGAACACCCTTAAAAGCAACAAGCAGGACATCTACGATAAACTAAAAGATATAACTATCCCGGACCAACTGGAGGGAATTAGTGGTTGCTTTGAAATTTCTCATGCAACAAAAACAGACTGTCATTATTGTTTCATCCGTGTATTGGTTGATATATTGAAAAGTAATTTGTCATCTTTGATAATGGCTTATGTAAGCCGAAAGCTTAAATTGGATTTAAACATGTATCAATATGATTTCCTTTCGTCTTTCAATGATAATGTTATTAAGCTTATCAGACAATATGAAAGGAACTTACTTAAAATGAATAGACAAAACTTGTCTATATTATTTAATGAAACATGCATTATATATATATATATATATATATATATATATATATATATATATATATATATATATATATTATGAAATGGATTAAGTTCGACAATTATTTAATATATTTTCTGTTTATACGTTATTTTTATAGATATTAATTTATTTTAGTAAATGATCTGTTTTTTAGTTAAACAGTAATAATTACATTCAGGCCGATAAATACAATTAATACTGTCTAATTAAATATCAGACCATTTACTTAAATAAATTATATTTATAAAAAATAACGTATAAACAATATATATATATGTGTGTGTGTGTGTGTGTGTGTGTGTGTGTGTGTGTGTGTGTGTGTGTGTGCATAATTGGATTGAGCGCTCGGAGAGGAAGGGGTGATTTTATAAAAAGTGGCTGCTGCTGCTAATACAATGCTCTTCAACTAGAATCGATCTCTCCTAGTCACTAACGTTTTTCGTATAGTAAAATATATATATATATATATATATATATATATATATATATATATATATATATTACTTAAACGTTTTTTAGTGGTACTTGTATTTGAATAGATGATCCGTTTATTTAATAATATGGGAATTAAACAAATATAGCGTTGCTTAAAGCGATCAAATCTATCTGTCGGATTATTAAAGAAAATTCAATCACTTTAGACATTATATATATATATATATATATATATATATATATATATATATATATATATAATTGGACATTGAAGTCAACACCCAGAGGCGACAGTCTATTTCAAGCTAAACACAATCGTCAGGCCTGACTTCAATGCCCACTTTTATATATGTATACCCTCTATAAGTGATATTGTGCTCTTTATATATGCCCATATATATATTTATTTATATATGTGTATGTGTGTGTAAGAATTCATATAAATAATATATATATGGAAAAAGATGATATATATATATATATATATATATATATATATATATATGTGTGTGTGTGTGTGTGTGTGTGTGTGTGTGTGTGTGTGTGTATTCAGGCAGCAATCCTTTTTATGTACATTTCATTGAATATGACAGACAAGGTGCTTTGATTTAGTTTTTTTATACAATTTCTCTTTGCTCGGAAATTTTCATTCAACTCAACGCTCGACTCTTCCGGTGTACCCATACCCGACTTCCCTCTTAGAACTGAGGCCCTATTGAGTGGGTTAACAAATTTAATATAACAAACCCTAGGAAATGTGTCAACATGCAATAAGAACAATCCAGAACTATTTACGGAAATTACAAGAAATCTAGACCTACTTAATAAGAATGACAAAATAATTAAAAGCAAACGCCAATCTAAAAACCTGAAACATATATTAACCTCATCACATTATACAGGGGGTCACAAAATGCAACAAAGAAAGATGTGGGGTTTGTGATGTCATTATAGAAGGGAAACCCTACACCTTCCAAAACCCCACAACTACATTCACAATAAATAAAAATTTAAACTGCAACTCCAAAAATGTCATCTATGCACTCAAATGCACAAAATGCAAGAAATCATATAAAGGAATCACTCAAGCACAGCAGAGTTGCCCTTCACAAAAGCAACATGAAATTACTCGACAACAAAAAACACTTTGTATCGCAATACAACTACAAATGCAATCAAGGCAAAATTTTAAAATTATGCCAATATACCAAACAAACAACTACTTTCTTACAAATTCAAAAAACAAAAATTCATAGACAAATTTAAACCAGCACTAAAGAGAAAATAACCCCACACACATGGCCACACGGAATGCACACATGATGGCTAGATACACTGGTCGGACCACACAAATACATACACGTAGGCACGCGCAAACAGGTATCAATGGAGAACAAAAATATATATACATACACTGGCAAAAAAACATATAGACAACTCATGGGTATACGCATGAACACCACGCAATATAGGAAGAAGGTGTATATGTGCGTGTGTATGTGTGTGGGTATGTATATTTGTATGTATATATATATATATTTGCTGCTCGGATGAAGGAGCGTATTACATCTCGCAAATTTGGCTCCAAAGATTATTGGCGTCTCTGCAAGAGTGTATGGAACAATTGCAAACCCTATATACCTCCTTTGTTCAACCAATTCGAAGTCCTGACCTCCTCTGCCGACAAGGCTGAATGCTTTGCTCGGAAATTTTCATTCAACTCAACGCTCGACTCTTCCGGTGTACCCATAACCGACTTCCCTCTTAGAACTGAGGACCTATTGAGTAGGTTACACATAACCCCCTTTTTGGTATTGGGCATTATCTCCAATTTAGACCCCAACAAGGCTAGTGGTGGGGATGGGATACCAGCCATTGTCTTGAAGAAATGCGCGCCTGAACTGGCGCCCACCCTCTCTAAACTATATAACTACAGCCTCAAGGAATCTTGTTTTCCTGGCTGCTGGAAGTCCTCTTCGATTGTTCCTGTCTTTAAGAACTCTGACGACCCCTCTGGCCCTTCTAATTACCGTCCTGTCAGTCTCCTACCCCTCTTCGGCAAAATCTTCGAATCCCTAATCAATGCCGAAGTGGTTAACCACCTTACATCCCATGATCTGCTCTCAGACAAGCAATATGGCTTCCGCTTTGCGCGATCCCTGAGAGCTATAATCTCCAGCTATTGAAATGTAATGTCAATTGACATCTTCAGTTACCTTGATCAATCCACAATCCTTCTCCTCATCCTTTCCTCTATCACTCCTATCTGATCTTGCTCCAAATCTTCTGTAACCCCCTTGCGTCCTAGTGGCTTCCCGCCTTGCTTGGGGTGAAACGCTTAAATATATATATATATATGTGTGTGTGTGTGTGTGTGTATGTGTGTGTGTGTGTGCGTGCGTGTGTGTGTGTGTATGTGTGTTTGTAACATATTTCGCTGGCTAATTCTAGCGTATTGTTTTCACGAATGTAAACAAACGCCAGTCAGCCAGAGTGCTCCTATTCATTTTTAACGAAGAGCTTTGCATAGGCGGCTGCTGTTTGTAAAATTACGCTGTACGCTGATTAATGTGCAAGCTAACGCGGACACGCACGCACACACGGTACACAAAAATGGAAATAGATTTGACAGCCTTAGATGTGATGTGGTGATAGAGGGACATCTATCATCAACACATCTTTCATCACCACCACTAAGGACAAACCTAGTGATTTTATTGCCACTTAAGCTGAAATTCAATTTGGCCCACAGTCCAAAAATGAGATCCAGGCTCAATTCAAATACAGAAAATGAACAATGAAACATTAAACGAACATAAAGAAAACTTATTCCTTTAAAAATTGATTCCTTTAATTTGCCTGAAGAAGGTCACGAGACCAGAAACTCGTGTAGCAAAAATATGTAGGATAAAATATAATATATACACGAAAACAAATCCATATTACGACCCAAAACATTTACGTTTTCTCTCTTTGTTTTAAAATATATATTTCTCTCTCGTTGGAACAATTATAACCTTTTTCCCTATATATATATATATATATATATATATATATATATGGTAGCAAATCGAATCAAGAAATTTTCAGCACCTCCTTATACACGCATATATATATATATATATATATATATATATATATATATATATATATATATTCTAAAACAGATAGATAGATAGATAGATAGATAGATAGATAGATAGATAGATCTTTAGCCGTTTCGTCACATTTCTGGAAGAGAATTGAGCCAAGAAATTTTCAATATCCCCGATACACCCTACCAATATATATATATATATATATATATATATATATATAAACAACTGATGAAGCCTTCAAGCCACTCCATTAATGGATGTTGACAGCTCATGCAAACACTTGACATCTTTCGTTGCATTTCCCGCCATAAATGACCCCGTCTCCCCCACCATCCTAACCTGTCAAGATCTCGCCACACACGACCCACTACCGTCACCCTCATCTCGCTTCGTGCAGTTCTATTCCAACAAAATTACACCGGTGACAACTCCGTTTCAAGAGGTGCGCAAGGCTTAATGGGATAGATCACGTGGTGGTCCGGGGGAAAAAAAGCGGTTCGCAGGGAAAAAGGCCTTATCAACTTGACGCTGGCAGATTCAGTAATTGGAGCCCCAAGCTGGAAGGGAGATGGGGACAACGAACAGAACACCTACAAGGGCCTCGGTTAGAGGTTAGTTGGAACGACCGGTTAAATTGACTCTTGATTTGGGGGGGGGGGTGTATTCATCTTTTGAAACCCGGACGCGATATTTATATTTAAACAAACGAATGCTTAATAACATTGTCAACTATTATAATGCATTAGGGGTGTGCAAAAGTTCTCAGCGTTTGCTATTAGAATTAGTTATTCGCAATAACGAGACGAAAACCTGTTTTGGAAATTTTTTTTTTTTTTATTAATAAATTTATTTTTAAGTAAGGGGGTACAAATAAAAAGATTTTTCACATTCACGAGAACTGATTTTCTTTCTTTCTTTCTTTCATTTTCTCAGTGAAACCAAGTAGCGTCTTTTCCCTTCTTTCCACGTGATGAGGTATTGGCAAGAGACGTTAAACACTTCTTTCTTTCTCTCTTTCTTTCTTTCTTTGTTTTTCTTTTCTTTCTTTCTTCTTCCTTTCTCTTTCTTTAATTTTCTCAGTAAAACCAAGTAGCGTCTATTCCCCTCTTTCTACGTGATCAAAACGGAATAGTCCATTATTTATGAGGTACTGTCAAAAGACGTTAAACACTTTTTTCTTTCTTTCTTTCATATTTGTTTTTTCTTTCTTTCTTTCTTCTTCCTTTTTCTTTCTTTCTTCTTCCTTTTTCTTTTTTTCTTTCTTTGATTTCCTCAGTGAAACCAAGTAGCGTCTTTTTTCACTCTTACCACGTGATCAAAACGGAATAGTCCATTATTTATGAGGTATTGGCAAGAGACATTAAACATTTCTTCTTTCTTCGTTTCTTTCTTTCTTTCTTTCATATTTGTTTTTTCTTTCTTCTTTTTTCTTTCATTTTCTCAGGGAAACCAAGTAGCGTCTTTTTCATTCTTTCCACGTGATCAAAACGGAATAGTCCATTATTTATGAGGTATTGGCAGCAGACATCAAACAAGAGTATCCGTCCTCTTTTCTTTTTGTCTTTCTTTCTTTCGTCCGTTCTTTCTTTCTTCCCTTCAATCTTACGTTCTTTTTTTTATTTTATCACAGAAACCAAGTGGCGTTTTCCCCCCTCTTTCCCCGTGGTCAAAACGAAGTATCCCATTATTTATGAGCTACTGCTAGCAGACATCAAACACTCCTATCTTCCCTCCTTTCTTTCTGTATTTCTGTCTTTCATTCGTTCTTTCTTGCTTTTTTTATTTTCCCACTGAAACCAAGTAGCGTCTTTTTTCCTCTTTTCACGTGATCAAAAAAACAAAAACAAAAACGGAATAGTCCATTATCTATGAGATATTGATAGGGCTTTACGGCCATCTCATGATCACGCCTTTCAACAGCTTCCTTGTATTTCTAAGCAATGTCTAATCACTTACTTTCCTTCCGAGTTTCTGTTCATATATGGCAGATAAATCGATCGTCCCTGACATTCAAATCGTACAATCATCGAAGTTAAGCAACGTCGAGCTTATCAGTAACTAGATGGGTGACCGCATAGGAATACCAGATGCTCTAAGCTTGGATAAGCGTGTGGTATGTCTTACTGCCATATAACGTTGATACACCGTTTTTTTTGTACGATCACCGCGGTCAAGCAACTTCGAGCCTGGTAGAGGGGTGACCATATAGGAATACCAGGCACTGCAAGCTTGTATGTGCGTGTGGTATATGTTATTACACCGGTTCTCGTTTGATCCCCGATGTTAAGCAACGTCGAAGCTGGTCAGTAACTAGATGGGTGACTGAATGTGAATACCAGATACTCTAAGCATGGATGTGCCTGTGGTTTGTCTTACGGCCATATCACATTGATACACCGGTTCTAGTTTGATCATTGAAGTTAAGCAACGTCTCGCCAATTCACTACGTAGATGGGTGACCGCATGGGAATACCAGACGCTCTAACCTTGAATGTGATTGCGGCATGTCTTACGGCCATATGATATTGATACACCGATTCTCGTACGATCACCGAAGTTAAGCAACGTCGTGTCTGGTCAGTAATTAGATGGGTGACTGCATCGGAATACCTGGTGCTATATGCTTGGGTGTCGGTGTGGTATGCTCTACGGTCGTATCACGTTGATGCACCGATTCTCGTTCGATCTCCAAAGTTAAGCAACATCGAACCTGGTCAGTACTAGATGGGAGATTGCATGGGAATAACAGGTGGTGAAAGCTTGGGTGTGTCTCTAGTATGTGTTACGGCCATTTGACGATCTTGTACGCTCAACGAAGTTAAGCAACTTTTAGCCTGGTCAGTATCTACTTACGCGCAATTGCTGCTGCGAAATGTATGTATCCACTTCTTCTCCCTCCCGCTATGGGTTCATCAGTGTTTTTTTGTTTTTTATCAGTAAATCATTATCATCTCCAAAACGTTCTTACAATCTGAAAATATTTTTTCGTCTGTAAAATAAGCTGCAAAAGTTTGATAAACCGGAAAAAATACAAATCAATCAAACTTACTTTGAGTGTCATATTTTTCAAGCCGTCTTTCCTCAAGTTGTGCCCGAAGAAATGCAACTGTCTCTTCCGGATCCCAACCAACCAGTGTCTTTTTTTTTTTTTTTTCTCCATTTTCTTTAAACTTCCTCAATATTCATATCTTGCGTCCATTCACTTGTACTCTCCGGCCTTCTTCAGGTGACTGGATCTCTGAGATGAGGTATTATGATTACTTGCATTATTTACACTATTCAGACTGTTATCCTCATCTTCATTGCCATATTCACAACGTTTCGGCTGTTGTACTCTCCGGCCTTCTTCAGGTGATTGGATCTCTGAGATGAGGTATTATGGTTACTTACATTATTTACATAATTCGGACTGTTATCCTCATCTTCATTGTCATATTCAGAACATTTCGGCCGTTGTGCGCTCCGGCCTTCTTCAGGTGATTGGATCTCTGAGATGAGGTATTATGGTTACTCGCATTATTTACATAATTCGGACTGTTATCCTCATCTTCATTGCCATATTCACAACGTTTCGGCCGTTGTATGATCCGGCCTTCTTCAGGTGACTGGAATTTCGAACCGAACCCTTTATTTCGTCCACTGGGGTAAGTTGTTCTAATTCCCGTGCCATGCCTCTTCCGGATGTCTCAGTTATTTCACTTTAAATCAAGCTTCAAATTTTCTGGTTCACCACTGCTGTGGTCTAGCCACTGTCTAACCAATCTCTTTATCCACGTCTTTAGTCCAGTCACTGGATATAACGTCTTTATCTTCTGGGCTATAGACGTGGTGTGTTCAATAGCAGGTCATAGCACTAGTGAAAAATGATTAAGTGTAATGTTTCTTGAATTTTGTAAACTTTCGTCAAAGGTACCGTTTTCATCATTTTAAACCATTGCCGATTTTCACTAAGGAAGATCAGACATGTAAATATCTGCTGCTTTGGAAACAGGAAACGTAAGCCAAAGCCAAACAAACAATAAAGAATTTGTAGCAATTTGAGTACCCAAGCTTCACTAAGTGCTTATGGATGGTGGATTTTGAAAGATTTAGTGTTTCTACTAATTCCTACGTTGTGTAATTTCTTGATATATTGAAATGTAATTATTATTTAATGAAACATGCATTAATGAAAAATAAAAAGTAGATAGATAGGTAGGTAGATATGAACAGACTGAGATAGATAGATAGATAGATAGATAGATAGATAGATAGATAGATAGATAGAGAGATATGCAAATGAGATAGATAGAAAATTAACATACTCAGATAGATAGATAGATATGCAAATGAGATAGATAGATAGATAGATAGATAGATAGATATTTAACAAATTCAGATAGATAGATAGATAGATAGATATGCAAATGAAATAGATAGATAGATAATTAACAAACTCAGATAGATAGATATTTAACAAACTCAGATAGATAGATAGATAGATAGATAACAAACTCAGATAGATAATTAACAAACTCAGATAGATAGATAGATAGATAGATAACAAACTCAGATAGATAGATAATTAACAAACTCAGATAGATAGATAGATAGATATTAACAGACTGTCATAGATAACCCGACGGGTATATATGTAGAAAATGATTATTTTGGTAAAAGTGATTACGTATTTTTCACCATTGCCTCTGATTAGGGTTCGATTATCAGATACCATATCCTGATTGAATATCAACTGGCGGTTCACATCCGCACAGCGACACATTTAACCGAATTTTGGGGTCTGTGTCGAAATCAACCAATCTTAATCTGCATATCATTCTACAAAGATACCGGTGTTTTTTTTCTTTTTTTCCTTTTTCGTATGGTCGCTCCGGTGCCTCTGAGGGAAAGCAACCAATTGCAGGAAAGAAATACAATCGTATCTTCGACGATGACGTTCCAATAGAACCTAATTAATAAAATGATTCGCCGGCGATGTGTTTTTTTTTTTATTTTTGCAATTTCCATATTATCTCCAAGAGTAACGAATGCATGCCTGGCGGTAATTTGTTGGAAATAATATACATACATATATATATATATATATATATATATATATATATATATATATATATATATATATATATATATATATATACAGGTATATGAAAATGTATAAAATTGAGATCAAAAGATGGCTTGTTTATCATTTCTGAGAAAAAATCTGAATGTGCAGGTTAATCTGAATTTGTTCATTATATGTCTCAACCTTTTCTTTCCTTTCTTCTTTCCTTTCTTCCCCCTCTTCCTAAATTCCACCCCCTCGCTTATTTCCTTTCTTTCCTCTCTTCCTTCCTTCCTTCCCACCTTCCTTCATTCAGCGCTTCTTTATTTCCCTTTTCCTTCATTTTAACCTTCCATTCTCACCTTCCTTCCTTCATTTATTCATTCATTCAATCTTCCTTTCTTTCTTTCTTTCTTTCTTTCTTCCTTTCTTTCTTTCTTTCTTTCTTCCTTTCTTTCTTTCTTCCTTTCTTTCTTTCTTTCTTTCTTTCTTTCATCATTCTCACCTTCCTTCCTTCCTTCATTTATTCATTCATTCATTCATTTATTAATTCATTCACATCTTCCTTTCTTTCTTTCTTTCTTTCTTTCTTTCTTCCTTTCTTTCTTTCTTTCTTTCCTTCTTTCATCATTCTCACCTTCCTTCCTTCCTTCATTTATTCATTCATTCATTCATTTATTCATTCATTCACATCTTCCTTTCTTTCTTTCTTTCTTTCTTTCTTTCTTTCTTCCTTTCTTTCTTCCTTTCTTTCTTTCTTTCTTTCTTTCTTCCTTTCTTTCTTTCTTTCTTTCTTTCACCATTCTCAACTTCCTTCCTTCCTTCATTTATTCAGTCATTCATTCATTTATTCATTCATTCACATCTTCCTTTCTTTCTTTCTTTCTTTCTTTCTTTCTTCCTTTCTTTATTTCTTTCATTCTTCCTTTCTTTCTTTCTTTCTTTCATCATTCTCACCTTCCTTCCTCCCTTCCTTCCTTCATTCATTCATTCATTTATTCATTCATTCACATCTTCCTTTCTTTCTTTCTTTCTTTCTTTCTTTCTTTCTTTCTTTCTTTCTTCCTTTCTTTCTTTCTTTCTTTCTTTCTTCCTTTCTTTCATCATTCTCACCTTCCTTCCTTCATTTATTCATTCATTCATTCATTTATTAATTCATTCACATCTTCCTTTCTTTCTTTCTTTCTTTCTTTCTTTCTTTCTTTCTTTCTTTCTTTCTTTCTTTCTTTCTTTCTTTCATCATTCTCACCTTCCTTCCTTCCTTCATTTATTCATTCATTCACATCTTCCTTTCTTTCTTTCTTTCTTTCTTCCTTTCTTTCTTTCTTTCTTTCTTCCTTTCTTTCTTTCTTTCATTCTTTCTTTCCTTCCTTCCTTCCTTCATTTATTCATTCATTCACATCTTCCTTTCTTTCTTTCTTTCTTTCTTTCTTTCTTTCTTTCTTTCATCATTCTCACCTTCTTTCCTTCCTTCATTTATTCATTCATTTATTCATTCATTCACATCTTCCTTTCTTTCTTTCTTTCTATATTTCTTTCTTCCTTTCTTTCTTTCTTTTTTTCTTCCTTTCTTTCTTTCTTTCTTTCATCATTCTCACCTTCTTTCCTTCCTTCATTTATTCATTCATTCATTCATTTATTCATTCATTCACATCTTCCTTTCTTTCTTTCTTCCTTTCTTTCTTTCTTTCTTTCTTTCATCATTCTCACCTTCCTTCCTTCCTTCATTTATTCATTCATTCATTCATTTATTCATTCATTCTCATCTTCCTTTCTTTCTTTCTTTCTTTCTTTCTTTCTTCCTTTCTTTCTTTCTTTCTTTCTTCCTTTCTTTCTTTCTTTCATCATTCTCACCTTCCTTCCTTCCTTTATTTATTCATTCATTCATTCATTTATTCATTCATTCACATCTTCCTTTCTTTCTTTCTTTCTTCCTTTCTTTCTTTCTTTCTTTCTTTCTTTCGTCATTCTCACCTTCCTTCCTTCCTTCATTTATTCATTCATTCATTCATTTATTCATTCATTCACATCTTCCTTTCTTTCTTTCTTTCTTTCTATCTTTCTTTCTTCCTTCCTTTCTTTCTTTCTTCCTTTCTTTCTTTCTTTCTTTCATCATTCTCACCTTCCTTCCTTCCTTCATTTATTCATTCATTCATTCATTTATTCATTCATTCACATCTTGCTTTCTTTCTTTCTTTCTTTCTTCCTTTCTTTCTTTCTTTCTTTCTTTCATCATTCTCACCTTCCTTCCTTCCTTCATTTATTCATTCATTCATTCATTTATTCATTCATTCACATCTTGCTTTTTTTTCTTTCTTTCTTTCTTTCTTCCTTTCTTTCTTTCTTTCTTTCATCCTTTCTTTCTTTCTTCCTTTCTTTCTTTCATCATTCTCACCTTCCTTCCTTCCTTCATTTATTCATTCATTCATTTATTCATTCATTCACATCTTCCTTTCTTTCTTTCTTTCTTTCTTTCTTCCTTTCTTTCTTTCTTTCTTCCTTTCTTTCTTTCTTTCATCATTCTCACCTTCCTTCCTTCTTTCATTTATTCATTCATTCATTCATTTATTCATTCATTCACATCTTCCTTTCTTTCTTTCTTTCTTTCTTTCTTTCTTTCTTCCTTTCTTTCTTTCTTTCTTTCTTTCATCATTCTCACCTTCCTTCCTTCCTTCATTTATTCATTCATTCATTCATTTATTCATTCATTCACATCTTCCTTTCTTTCTTTCTTTCTTTCTTTCTATCTTTCTTTCTTCCTTCCTTTCTTTTTTCTTCCTTTCTTTTCTTTCTTTCTTTCATCATTCTCACCTTCCTTCCTTCCTTCATTTATTCATTCATTCATTCATTTATTCATTCATTCACATCTTGCTTTCTTTCTTTCTTTCTTTCTTCCTTTCTTTCTTTCTTTCTTTCTTTCTTTCATCATTCTCACCTTCCTTCCTTCCTTCATTTATTCATTCATTCATTCATTTATTCATTCATTCACATCTTGCTTTTTTCTTTCTTTCTTTCTTTCTTCCTTTCTTTCTTTCTTTCTTTCATCCTTTCTTTCTTTCTTCCTTTCTTTCTTTCATCATTCTCACCTTCCTTCCTTCCTTCATTTATTCATTCATTCATTCATTTATTCATTCATTCACATCTTCCTTTCTTTCTTCCTTTCTTTCTTTCTTCCTTTCTTTCTTTCTTCCCTTCTTTCTTTCTTTCTTTCTTTCTTTCTTTCTTTCTTTCTTTCTTCCTTTCTTTCTTTCATCATTCTCACTTTCCTCCCTCCCTTCCTTCCTTCCTTCATTTCTTCTTTACCTCCGTATCTTCATTCTCACCTTCCTACCTTCATTCATTCATTCATTCACCTCTTCCTTACTTTCTTTCTTCTATCATTCTCACTTTCCTTCCTTCCTTCCTTCTTTCCTTCTTTCCTTCCTTCCTCCCTCCCTTCTTTCCTTCCTTCATTCATTCACCTCTTCCTTCCTTCCTCTCTTCTTCTCTTCTTCTCTACTTCATTCACCCTTCCTTCCATCATTCATTCTCCCCTTTCTTACTTCCTTTCCTTCTTTCTTCATTCTAACCATCCTTCCTCCCTTACTTCCTTTATTCTCCCCTTCCTTCCTACCTTCCTTGACCCCCTTTCTTACTTTCCTTCTTCCGTCATTCTCATTCATCTCTTCTTCATTTCTTTCTTCATTCTCCCCCCTCCATACCTTTCTTCTTTCCTTCCTTTATTCACCTCCTTTACTTTCTTTCTTTATTCTTTTTATTTATGTACTTGTTCACCCCCACACCCATATATATATATATATATATATATATATATATATATATATATATATATATGTCATCCGCAGACAGCACTGTTACGCTGTATCACAATTCCTCAGTGTGACTAGACATCCGAAAGCCTCAATCCAGCATCCAAACCCGACCGATTTGGAAGAGAGAAGCTGTTAATTCTAGTGTATTGCTTTTATGAATGTAAACAAACGCCAGTCAGCCAGAGTGCTCCTATTCATTTTAACGAAGAGCTTTGTATTTTAGCGTAGGCGGCTGCTGTCTGTAGAATTAGGAAGTCTCTCAAGTTTGCGCGATTGAAAATATATCTTCAAGGTGGGATATATATATATATATATATATATATATATATATATATATATATATATTTAAGTAATTCATCGAGTCTAGAAGAAACCTCAACAGAATGCATAAAGCACTGGGCGGCCGTTTCGTCCTATATTTGGGGCTCATCAGCAGTGCGCATCCACTATCGAGAACTGAAACCCGGACAGCTACATTGACTGGCAAACGTCATACCAACTGTACCAACGGGCCTCGGTGACGAAGAGGTAGCGAACTAGACTCGATATAGCGCCGCTCGTTCACATATTCCGTGGTGGAACTCATCCAAGTTCCTTTACCCATAGGACTGTGCCTCTGAGAGCCACGACTACCATCCCCAAATCGCCCCATCCAGAGCATTAGAAGCTGGTTCAAGCAAGGATATACAAATGATAGAAATTAAATAGGATTTGAGATAATTAAATAATTCATCGTGTCTAGAAGAAACCTCAACAGAATGCAGAAAGCACTGGACGGCCGTTTCGTCCTATATTTGGGACTCATTAGCAAAGGAACTCCTGAGTAAAGTAACGAGCGGCACAATATCGACTGATTTCCTAATTATTTTTTTAATTTAAAAGTTCTACATGTTAAATTTTCATTTTTATTTTTCACACGTGTATTGAGCACTTTTAATACTACCGTTTTCTGGTTTTATCTTCTATTAACCTTTTCAGTATGACACTGGTCTACAACATGCTAGCTTTAAACACAAAAATAGCCAATATTAGCTAATCCCGGGCCACTGGAAATAAAACTGATATCCAATGTTGTTGATTAGCTCGAGATTTCAAGATATTGTACCAGTGAATAATTTGATAAAGATTTCATCAAAATTATTGTCCTTGCCAGATTAATTATTATTGTCCTAATAAACAAATTATTATTCTCCTAATAAAGAAATTACTATACTCCGTATAAACTAATTACTTGGTATGGTGGGTGCGCACTGCTGATGAGTCCCAAATATAGGACGAAACGGCCGTCCAGTACTTTCTGCATTCTCTTGAGGTTTCTTCTAGACTCGATGAATAACTTAATTATGATTATTTCAAATCCTCCTAATTATTTATATATGTATATCCTTGCTTGAGCCGGCTCCTAATGCCCTGGATGGAGCGGCTTGGGGATAGTAGTCGTATCTCGTGGGGGCACAGTCCTATGGGTAAAAGAGTAACTCATAGAAGTTCCACATTTTTCCTCTCATTTCATTGTTGGAAGTGTTTACCTGATGATCCGAAATCCTTTAAAAAGGATTTTGGTGAAATAAATTATTGTCATGGTACCTTAAAGTGCTCTGTTTTTCATTAAATATTAGCTCTGTTCTTCACATTGAGCTCTCAGGATTTCATCCTCCTTGGAATTACCAATTCGGTTTACCAAATTCTTCGTAATATATATATATATATATATATATATATATATATATATATATTTAAAGATATTTTTTGTAGGTACAAAATTTAATCATCGAAATAAAAGTATAAAATTTAATATTACAAGACATATTAAAAAGTATTAAATAATAAAAAAAAAAAATCAACAACAGGGGGAAGCAACCGGTTTCGCTCCTGCTCGTCAGGCTTCCACGAGAGAGTGAAAATTAAAACAGAGAAATGTACAGTAAGAATAGGTGGAAAAAAAAAATTAAACACACACATATATATATATATATATATATATATATATATATATATATATATATATATATATGTGTGTGTTCGTATATATGCAAGAAGGAACTAGAGGCCGATGACAGCAAGACCCAGCAAACACTCACGTTGTTTGCACAAAGAAGGCTTGCGGGACCCGATGTAAAGCGCCTCCAGAACCTTCAGATGAAATACAGAGTGTGACCGGGCCAACACGGTGAACCAGTCGACACTAAATTTGGCGGCACAGTCTCTGCTATTTAAAAGGTGTTCGCATATGGCGGAACTGTAGGTGTTCGGGACGAGTCCACTCGCATGCAAGGTGTGGTTCCTAATTTTAGTAGGAACGTGTTGCTTTATTCTAGTGTCTAAGCGCTGAGTCGTTCTCCCTATGTAGTTGGCTCCGCAACTACAAACGTATTTGTAAACAATAGAATTAATATGGTGGGGAGGGATCTTTACACGCAGATCGAAACATAGGCCGAGTTTGAAAAATAATCCGAACTTCAGCAGAGAAAAAAAAAAAAAAAAAATATATATATATATATATATATATATATATATATATCAGCTCAGGGGAGGCACAGTCCTATGGGTAAAAGAGAAACTCGGAGAAGTTCCACCGCGGAATTTGTGATCGAGCGGCGCTATATCGAGTCTAATTCGTTACCTCTTCGTCACCGAGGCCTGTTGGCACAGTTGGTATGGCGTTGCCTCCTATCGTGACTGCTCGGGTTTTAATTCTCGCTAGTGGATGCGCACTGCTACTGAGTCCCAAATATAGAACAAAACGGCCGTCAAGTGCATTCTGCTGAGGTTTCTTCTAGACTCGAAGAATTAATATGATTATTTCAAATCCTCCTAATTATATTTTCTCTCTCTCTCTCTCTCTCTCTCTCTATATATATATATATATATATATATATATATATATATATATATAT